ACATGTTGATTAAATCTTTTGCCGATTTCACCGCTTGTGAAACAGAATCAAGCATAGAGGAAGTAGTGAACCCTTATTATGGGCAACACGGACTAAAGCAGCACATAAAAGAAAAACCAATTGCCTTTGGATACTAATATTAGTGATGGAGTTTAAAATCTAGTTATTTGATGACTTTCAGTAGTATCAAAGGGCCATAGGACAACAAAATGATTATAAAAATAAATTTTGTTTAAGAGGTGGTATATTTCTACAACTTTCGGATAATTTGCCATGACATTTATGCAGATAATTTTTTCACTTAACAAACGTCAGCGTCTGACCAAAATAAAATAAACTTAAAACTAAATAAAATTAAATAAAGGTAAATAGAATCAGGTTATATAATAATAAAGGTTAAAGGGAATTATGTTAAATTAAATTACCAATATATCAAATTAGGTAAAATTAAATAAAAGCTATACTTGTAAAAACGCTGCTTGTTATACCGTTTCTGCTTCGTTTCACTTGTAAAATCCCGTAAAAGAAAATGCTATGGTAAGCTTGTTCGAATGATTTTTAGAGGTCAGATTTCTGAAGACCGGACTATACACCCTTTTTATATAGCAATTTAGCAGTATCCATAAATTTATTCAGTTTTTTACGCCGTATATTCATTTTTCAAATGTACATTTGTCTGATTTATTTTCCATAGTTTGTACAGTTTTTTTTGTATTGCACATCTTTATTATATCTTATATGTATCTCTTCTCTCCTAGCCCTAGAACCACAAGGTGGGGTCGCCAATGACCCCACCGCACTAATTTTTTTGACATGCGGGCGATTCTGATGAACCTATAAGTTGGCCTCCCATCTATCTTCAGTAATTCACATGACTTGTAACTGGTGACGTGTTTTATGAACGTTCACATTTAGTCGTGTTTGCAGCGCATTTCCGATTTTTTACTCCACTTTGTGGTTAAGGTAACAAGTTTTTATCGGTAAGATATTTCTAAGTATTCATATTTATAGCGTCTTATAAGTTTTTTTTTTTTAATTAGAGCACCGTATGGATCCAAATAAATGTCCCCTTACGCAAGAAGATTTGTGAAAAGCCCTTTACGAAGATGATTCCAGTGGTAAAGAAGAATGTTCTTTTGGTAAAAGTGAAGATAAAGATTATGTATTACCGGACGACCATTTTTAAGATATATTTGATTTGAAGAATTGCAACAAGAGGATGATGTTGATATGTATTAAACCGTCATAGACCAAGATTTGAAGGAGACAACTGCCCCAAATTATTAGGTCGAAATAATTATATTTGGTTTACACAACCTATAATTAGTAAGAGAAACTTCAAAAAAAATATATTGTTCTTCATCTACCCGGTCCAAGTAAGGAAGCTACACATAGAACCATCATAATAGAATTATGGCAACTGTTTTTTCCTGACACGCTGATAGAAATAATTTTGAATAACACAAATAAAGAAAGAAAAATTATCAAAACAAAATTTACCGAAGAACAATACTATACTCAGGAAACGAACAATTTTTCAGTGTCATTTGTCATTCATTTGTCAGTTTTTAATACTTTTTGGCTTATATTTTGCTGGAGTTTTAAAAGATGCCAATCTTTTAGTAATAGATATGTAGTCTGAAAAATTTGGTGTTCCCATATTTAGATAAGATGAGATAGAATTTTTTTTAATGTCTTTACGCTTGGACGATAAAACCACTCGCGCAGAACGTAAGGCTTTACAAAAGAATTCAAGCGGTTAAATGTCAAAACAATTATAGTCCGTCAGAGTAACTAACAATAGATGAGTAACTGCTGGGCTTTAGAGGCAGGTAACCTCTTAAAATGTATATTCCCAGCAAGCCTGATAAGTATGGTTTAAGACTTGTAATGATGTGCAATGCAAAAACGCTGTTCGTTTTGATGTGTTCTACTGTGTGATATATTGGTAAAGAGCAGCGAGATCCATAGAAAGGTTCAAGTCTTACCCAGTATGTTTTAAAGCTTCCTACATGTTCCTTCCCACAAGCTTCCTCCCATGTTTTAAAGGTTCCCACAGCCTTTGCTGCCTCTCGCATTTCGACCGCCATCGTTTTCTGTCCATCCATCGTCTTTTTTGATGGCTCTATCTCTCATTATGTGTCGTACATTTTCTTCCCAGGCAACTGAAGGCCTTTCCCTTCTTCTTCTTTGTTGTGGTATGTAATTTAAAGCTTTCTTTGGCCATCTATCTTCATTCATTCGCTTCACGTGACCATACCACACAAGTTGTCTCGTTTCAATTCTATCTATACTGGAATATACAGCATTTGTCCTCCTTCAAATTCTTCATTCGTGATATGATTATTTTTGGATACACCACACGCTCTCCTTAGAAAATCCATTCCTACTTCTTCTATTCTTTTTCTATCTTTTTTCGTGATCTGCCAAACTTCTGCCCCATAAGTCATAATAGGCTCTACCAAGGTTCGATAGATTATCAATTTCGTTTCTTGTTTAATATATTTAGATCATAGTAGAGAGTTTAAAATGTTAACCGCTTTTTTTCCCTGCTGCGTTCTGTTTTCGATGTCTCTTTTGGTAGTGCCTTCTTTAGATATTATAGATCCGAGATATTTATATTCCTTGCATATTTTTGTGTTTCTAATTTCTAACTCTGGATCTTCTTCATCATCTCCTATTTTAAGATACTCTGTCTTTCACATATTCATATTGAGGCCCCATTTTTGATATTCTTTCTTTAGTTTTCTATAAAAGAGAAATACCTACACAATATTTGGAAACGGAGCGATCGGAAATTCCGTCCATAACATTTGCATTTACTGCAAAGTTAACACTAGTATCACATGTTCCAAAACGGAACGAATGCATTCTATTAATCAGTTCTATGCACTCATTAGACGAAGTTGATGTAGTTACCAAAAAACCAGAAATAATTCTATTCTACAACAGCACTAAGGGGGGCTTCGATCAACTGTGACATGCAAAAACCGTTGTCAGGAAAATAAGAAGATGTCCACTGAGGGTTTTTTTTTATGGAATTTTAGACGGAGGTGGAGTAAACACAATGGTTTTGCACAGACTGAAACATTCTGACGAAAAAATTTCCCGTTTAAAAGTCTTTAAGTCCTTAACTGATGCATTAGTACAAGCTCATATTCAACTAAGAATGAATATTATACACCTTCCCAAAAAGTTAAGGGAATTGATTATTTGGGATATCCAGCCAAAATACCCACTGTATATCCTCAGAAAAGAAATCGTCGATGCTATTATTGTCCAAGATAGTTAACGCCGCCATATTTATGTTTATTGTGAAAAAAATGTATGTACAGAACACCAGTTTAGTATTTTAGAAGATTGTAAATAATATAAGGATAAACTATTCAACTCCTCAGCGTTTGATCGTGTCCAACACCACAAGTTAATGCAGATTCTCAAGAAAATTGATATAGACCAAAAAGTCATAAGATGCATTGAAAACTTGTACTGATATCAAACGGCACAGTTAAAAATAAACAATTCTATGTCCAAACCCATACATATAAGAAGAGGCGTTCGACAGGGATGTGTGCTTTCCCCTCTTTTATTTAACATTTATTCGGAAGCCATATTTCAAGAGTCTTTGGAGGATGCAGAGATGGGAATCAAGGTGAATGGAGTATTGATCAACAACATACGATATGCTGATGATGGTGTCTTAATTTGTGACAACATAGTCGATCTTCAACAACTTGTCACTATAATCGGAGAATACAGTAAGCGAATGGGATTAGAGATTAATACCAAAAAGAACAAACTTATGATCATCTCCAGAAACTTAGATGCACTTGAAAACTCCACTCTATTACTAAATACTAAGTCCATTGAAAGAGTGAGTAAATTTAAATACCTGGGATTGTGGCTTTTTGAAGACTGGGCATCGGACAGGGAAGTAAAATGTCGCATTGAGCAAGCTCGACAAGCTTTCATAAAATTCAAGAAGGTACTGACTTGTTCAGAGTTCGATCTCTAAGTTAGACTAAGGTTTACTAAGTGCTACGTATGGTCAGTGCTGCTATATGGCGTAGAGGGCTGGACACTCAAAACGAGGGATATAAACAGATTAGAAGCTTTCGAAATGTGGCTTTATCGCCGTATCCTAAAAATACCATGGACAGAGAAAATCACAAATATAGATGTCCAGATCCAACGCCAACTTTTCGAAACCATCAAGAAAAGGAAAACGGCGTATCTAGGTCACATCATGCGAAATGAAAAATACCAGTTCCTCCAAATCGAGGATAAAATTGAAGGCAAGAGAGGAATGGGACGCAAGAAAATGTCCTGGCTCCGAAACATAAGGCAATGGACAGGGATTAACGACATACAATCTCTGATACATATTGCAAGAAATAGAGAATTAATGGAAAATGTGATCGCTAACATCCATTAGTGGATTTGCATCTGAAGAAGAAGATTCAACTCCTGTATTTTTGACATCTTATAAAGTATTTATCAAATATAAGTGCTTTTATCTTTTGACTCACTCTCTAGATTAGTTCTGCTTATTGTTATCTAACAATACATTTTCTAATTGGAAATTAAATCATTTAGTACATTTTCGATAAATAACTTTAAAAAACATTTAAATGTCTTTTATTTTGAAACATATTTTCGGGTCGTCTGTGACCCCACGTTGTGAAAATCGTTGCACCAATTTCACCTTGTGGTTCTAGGGCTAGGTATGTTTTACGTTTACGTTTTTAATCTCTATGAGAACAAATTATACAGCCACATTTGGATCTGCAATAATCAACTATAAGAATTATTAGGAGAGAGATTACAAGGAGAGTATTATGTATGGGTAGCTTTTTATTCTGTGCCCACATACCTGTGAAGAACACAATCATAAATTATTAAATAAGAACTACGATATATTATTCTAAAATATAATTGACAATAATTGTAAAATTACAAAACATAGATATGAAAATTTTCTTTTTTAAATCTATATATTGCACCATAGCAATTTATTCTGCATCCTCAAACATCCAGTCTTCATCATTAACATAAACCTTTGGATACACTTTGCAACGACTTTTATGGTAATGGTCTTCTTCACCTGTCCATTCTTCATCAGCAGTATCAATGTCCGGATTTCTTGGTTTGGAAGAAACCGGCAAATCCCAATCCTCCGTTTCGTCACATACGGTTACCGTTGGAATGATATCATTACAAGAGTAATTTGTAGAAGTAGAACTACTTCTACTACAATAAGAAGATCTACTAGATGGATATTTTTCCAATATTTTTATACCATCTGCTCGAATTAACTGGTTTAAAGATGATCTTAAAGTATTTTTTTTATCTTCATAGTTTACTATTTCATTAGTGCTGTAATAATTTAGTTCCAGATCCAATTCTTCCAATTTATCACAATTTAAATTGAATGAATCCAAAGAATTATCATATAGATCTAATACTTTTAATGCAGGCATATTACCTAGTAAAGTCTCAATACTGTTTCTACATGCTAAGAGAACTTCTAACGAAACTAACTTTTCTACTTGTTGTGGAATAGCTACAATCAAATTACTAGAAATATCCAACACTCTTAAGTTAACAAGAAACTGTATGCCATCGGGTAACCATGAAATATTATTGTTATTAATGTAGAGTTCCCTTAATGTTTCAACCCAGCAGATCCCATCGGGGAACATTCCTATCGATAAGTTGTTCATCTTTAATACCTGCAAATGCTTCCACTTTAGGTTTACAAAAAGATTATCAGTCTCGTACAACTTGTTAACAAAAGTTTTATACTTATTGCTAAGATCTAAATATTCGATGTAATTAAAACATCTAAGGAAGTCATAATCGGCGTCCAACAAACAACTATTTTTAAACTTCACCTTCTTCAGTTTCATTTTATCCTTCGTACAGCTCATTTTAGTAAACTTATAGCTGGTGGAGTTATTGCAGCTAAAATTAATTTCCTCCAACTCTATACATTGAAAATTAGTGATAAATTGGGGCAGAGATTTAAATAAATTGTTGTTGATTTTAAGGACTTTAAGCACATTCAAACAAGCCGGATCTATATAAAATTGTTCGATCTTGTTATGACCAATATCAAGATGCTCTATATGTTTCATGCCGCTGTATATACAAACAGGTACTCTGGATAGATTATTGTAAGCAAGTACTAATTGTTTTACATTGAGGTCTTTACAACTATCTGGCAAATTTTCTAAATTACATCGAGATAAGTCTAGAGTTGAAATTTTGTCAAGAGGTAGGTTAGTATCAGTAATATTGTTCTCAATAGTATGTAAGAATTTCTCCAGGGCGATATATTCCTGTTCTATGTCATGATCACTGTTTCCATATGGCTTAATATCAATAACTTCATTTTGTTTTCTAAGAAACAGGAATTTCTTCGATGAAGATTCACTATCTAAAAAAAAAAAGAATAAGTACAATGCTTAAGTCGACTAATACTTAGGGGAGGATGGGGCATTGTGAACCATCTAAGGAAGATATGCACATACTGTTAAACCAGAAATGATTTTGTTTTGTTTAATTAATTAGGGACGTTCATTAAACATTTAACTGTCATTTAGTTGCAATTGAAACATAATTTATTTAACGTATTTTCAACAAAAAAATGACAACTGACTATATGTCAAAAGTTCACATTGCCCCATAGGGTGGGGCAATGTGAACTACTGAGGAAAGTCACACTATTTCATTATCTAATGGCTATGTTCGGTAAATAAAATCAAGTAAAAAGAATTTTTTTATTAAAAATACTTAGAAAACCGGTAACAGAACATTAGTAAAAATAGACACAAGTTATATTTATTCAGAAATACAAAATTCACACTGAAATACTTTATCATCTTCTGGATCTATTCCCGCACATGCTTCATGAGCCCATTTCAGACAGGCCGAGCAACGTACCCATCCTTCTTCATTGGCTGATGAGGAGAACCACTCGTTACAGTAAAAACATTCAGCATCTTCACCATTGCCATCATCTTGTACTTGATGGTTACATTTATTTTTTTTCTTTCCCTTACCATCTTTGGAAGGACAAGCTTTTATTTTTTTGTTACTTCTTTCACTATCTTCGTGCTTATCATAATTTATTTTTTTCTTAGCTTTTTCCTTTTTCATTGTTTCTATTGCCTCCTTCGTGTTTATTTCAAGTTCTAATTCTAGCTTATACGGACTAGATGTCAGTACAGCCGTTTTAACCTTTTTTAGATTTCCTCTTTGGTTCCATTAATTTACTTCTCTTTGGCAGAGGACGAATGTCTTTAGGACTGTTTGCTCCAAATGAAGTTGTTGCTCTATTGTGTGCAGGGGAAATTGTCAATTAAAAATCGTTACCAGTATGAAGCTTTGCAACTGATGTTGAAGCAATTACCTCATCTTGACTTAAGTGAGGCTCTGCAGTTGAAGTTGAAGGAATTGCCTCATTTTGACTTGACACTGGTAGACTATTATTCTCCAAATCTCTTTCAGTCGTAGCAGATGGTGCAAAATCGAGGTCTGTAAATATATTGGGATCATAAGGTACTATCCCACATTTTTTAAAAGCGTTAATAGCGGTCAAAGGTGTTGCAGCTTGTAAGAAAGCCTCACCAAAAATTTTAGAGATTTGGAAAGCTGTTACCACTCTGCCTGGGTTGTTATTAAGAAACTTTTCTAATGCCATATCATAATATCGTGCTAAAGGAGCCATGAAACCAACATCGGTTGGCTGCATTCAATGGGTGGAATGTGGAGGCAAACAAATGATATGTACATGTTTTTCCCTAGCCAAATTAATTACTTCTATGTTTTTTTGTATGGCTGCTGTGTCCATCCAAAATCAATAAGATCGGATCGTCTTCATTTGGTTTCGTTTATTGAAGAAAATGTTGAAACCATATTAAAAAGAGTTCACTATTTATCCAGCCACTATCGCTACAGGCGAATATTGAACCTGGAGGTGCACCAGCTTGGAGTTCGACTTTCATTCTCTTTCTTGCAAAGATTAACATCGGCGGTATGAAGATTCCTGATGATGACATGCAAATAACGGCTGTTGTTATTCCACTTCTATCAGCAGAAGTAAGCCGTCCAACTTGTTTCCGTCCTTTATGCGCCAAGATTTTACTATTACATTTGGGGACTGTACCTAGACCTGTTTCGTCACAGTTAAAAACACGCGTTGAATTGACATGTTTAGAATCCAAAGTAGCTTTATACAGATCAAAAAATTGTTTTACATTGTAACGATTAAAATCTTCAGCTCTTGCAGCAGATGTTGATTCGGGTTTACGTAATGGAAGCCCTGGGTGCCGTTTTCGAAATCCGTACGCCCAATCTAAACCTGAAAGTTTGTTTGTTTTATTATATGGATTGTCTATGTTATTTTTTTCGGCTAACTGGAAAGCTAGGTGACAAAGATCAAGCAAAGTAATTCCGTATAAACGCTTCTCCATATCTAAGATATAATTATATAATTCTTCTTCCTGTTCCTTGGTGAAAACCGTTTTGTAGAAACCTAGACCCTTTTCGTCAGGAGAAATTCTTGTTACCTTTTCTTTGCATCTGCGAATTAACGTTGCTTTCGGGATACCATAAACTTTACTAGCTTTTAAATAGCCCATCTCCCCAGCTTTAACTGTCCGGATAGCATTCTTCAAGGCAACAAGAGACCAGGATTGTTGCTCAGTTCTCACATAATTTCGTACCATTTCTAACTGCAAAAGAAGCATATAATTAAAAAAGTGTCAAGAAAATATAATGGGGCAATGTGAATCACTCCTAGTCCACGTTGAACCATGCGTAGTACACATTCAAAATATGGAAATTAACGTACCAGTTCGCAACGTATCAAAAGCAAATCTTAATTATTAAAAGCACATTTTACAAGCAACACCACAGTATCAAAAAGTTAAAATAATCATGTCTACTTACCGAGAAATCTTTAGTCAAAAGTAGTAAATTCCTTAGATCAGCAGCGACGAAACACGTGTTTTTACATGTCTACGCATATTTGTAGTAGTTACCAATTTTAAACAAAATAACCGATGTGGTTTGCATTACCCCCATGGTCCATGATACCCCATCCTCCCCTAATAATTTGTTTTCAAATAAAATTTTTGACAACTTGTATTAGTAAAAAGATAGGTACATTTACCACGTGAACGATGGCTACAGCTGGTTTTTTAATGTGAAAATGTTGTCTATATGCTGTCCGTTTCTCATTAGGTAGTGTAACAGCAATAGCATGTATTGAAAAAAATTGAATGTTGCGAGTTTTTTACCCGTAAACCCTCATAACGAAGATACACGTCATCTTTACATGTAAGTTACAAAGAATATTTCCAAGACTGCGGCAAAAAAGTTGACAATTCTTCGTTCATATTATTTAACGAACACCACGTTGGTCAAGTCAGGGTGCTTTATTAGGATAGGTAAGGATACAGATGGTAAAAATTGTCAACTGCATAAACATGCAGAAGGCACTATGGAAACCACTGCATTAAAGACTGGGGGAGTATAGTAGCCTCGTATTTCCGTGAGACTGTGCAAAAATATATGTATCTGTAATAAAATCATTCAACAAAAAGGTACTCTACCAGGAGTCTGTAAAATTATCAATGACTCAGACGTATAATAATACAAAGTTTCCAGATTCCACTCGATATTAACATTCAGACGTGCCTGGTATAATCTTTTAAAATATGAACCAGATATGAACAATCAACCAATTAAGTTTTCATCGAACTTATGACAAGTCCACGTGGACTAACGGCCAATGAAAACATCGGATATCGCTGTTATGACAAATCATAATGTAGTATCTTTTGTCGGTAGACTTATTCATACTTGGGGTAAGATTATATCAGTATTTGACTGAGCTTACGGAGTCATAAAATAATGGATCAGGTTCCGACCGTCCAGTGCCGAAGGCACGGGACGGGGAAAACTTAGGTAGGCAAATTTTTATAATATTTTATTTTTAAATTGCGGAGATGACCAACAGATTTTTGGGAGACAAGAATATTTTTAGTAAAATCATAACTGCTACAGCGTTCAGTTAAATTCAAATTTCAAATAGTGAACCGCAAGTTTGGTAGTGACTTTTTTCAGTGTTCTTTATACGGAAAACATTTTATATTTTACGTTTTTTACTTTTTTTGATACGTTTTTACGTGATTATGTTTTTATACGTTTGATAATTTTAAAATATTGCGTCCGTGGTGCGATAATAATTATGTAGCTGAAGAGACAATGGAACCCTCTAATCGATTGGAAGATTTACAAAGGCGTGTAGTAAAACGTGCGACATTTTCAATACCTTTCTGATGAAGCCAAACGTATACTAAAAAATGGTTATGAAGGACTGTGTGCTGAATTGTCTAATTCAAAGGCAATTGCAGAAAAATGTTTTTTAACCAGAGTGCCCAAAGCAACCCACTACAAAATTATAGGAGAAACATCTTCTTCTAGACAGAAGAGAAAGGATTGTGGCAAATTCAGAAAAATAGAACCGCACTTAATTGAATCTATAACTAGAACAATATACCAAATGTATGCGGCTAATATTTTTCCAACTATTGAAAGCCTTTGAAGTGAATTAGTTCGAAAGTGCATTCTCTCGTGTTCAGCAACAACACTTCGATTATTTCTTAAAGCCAATAATTTTAAGTACAAAACTATAGACAAGAGACAGACATTAATGGAAAGTACTAGAATAATTTCTTTAAGAAACAATTATATCAGACAGATAACTGAGTATCGAAAAATGAAACCAAATATTGTTTATTTAGATGAGACCTGGTATGATACTCATGACACCGTGAAAAAAAAGTTGGACAAATAATAACAAAAAGTGTTTCAACTCAGTACCGCCCAATAAAAGAAAGAGAATTATAATTTTACACTATGGTGGAGAAAATGGATGGGTCGACGATGCATTATTAATATCTGCAAAACAAAAAAACGCGTCTCTGGATTATCATGACGATATGGAAAGTTCAATTTTTGAATCATGGTTTGAAAAATGTCTTCTTCCGAAATTACTTAAAGATAGTGTGATTATCATGGACAACGCATCATATCATTCAAGATTAATGAAAAAAACTTCAAATAATAGTTGGAATAAATTAAAAATTCAGGATTTTTTATTCACGGAAGATTTGTATTTTGAGACATCTTATATTAAAAAGCAATTGTTGGAGGTTGTTCATAGTAAACAGTACGAAAAGGAATATGTTGTTGACAACTGTGCTCGTAGTAACGGACATACTGTGTTTAGACTTCCTCCTTATTATTGTACATTGAACCCAATAGAGTTAATATGGGCTCAACTTAAAGGAAATATAATGAGAAGAAACGTTGCTCCAAAATTTTTTGTCTACTGTTCTCCTGTTAATTAGAAAATAAGTCACAAAA